AATAACAAAAAAAATAAAAAAAATAAAAATTTTAAAAAATTTAAAAAAATTTTATAAAAAAAAAATTATATCCGAAATACCAAAAATTGAAAAAATATAAAAATAATAAAATTTTTATTATTAAATTGAAATATAAATGATAATAGTGATTATAAATTATCATTAATATTTATCGTTTTTTGTATCACATGGAAGAATTTATCTGTGTGTCTTTTTGTGTATTTTCAAGATATAGGTAAGAATCTAATCCGTTGGGTAAATGAACTAAATGACCTGGGCTATTATAAACAATATTTCCCCAAATCATTGCATTAAACCTTCCTTTTTAACTCTTGTCATGATATGCCATTCGAGTAAAACATAAGAAATTTTTTTTTTTATTTTTTTAATTTACCCACAACCACTCCTGTAATAATCTTCGAATATAATAGTTTTCCTTTCAATTTATTTTTAAAAATTAATGATTAATCATTATGGTAAGGTTCTTCATATAAAAATTATTATTGGTAAATCTATTTATTTTTCACCTATGAAACATCTTTTTTGATACCCTTTCTTTAACAATTTACCAAAAATTTTCAATAATATTAATATCTGGACCGAAGGGTGGTAATGGATCAACTTGTATATTATTTGATGTTATACCAATAATAATAAAAATAATAATACATACAATTAAAAAGACCATTTGGAAGTTTAAAATAGTAAATCACCATTTATATGGAAATTCCGAGTATTGGTAAATGTTCTATTAATTAAATAAACCAGTGGATAAGTTAAACCTGTGAAACTTCTTGATTGTAAAAGTCATATATTATTATGTGTTGAAAAATTTTTGAAAGAATTGAAATCGAAATCTATTGTTAAATAATATGAAATTAAATTATTGGAAATAACATTTGACATTGATGGGATATTTCTTGTTATAAAATTGACATTTCCACAAACAAAAGGATCGTTTAAAGTGTTTTCTAAATCATAATATTTCACAATTCCACAAAAGACAAATAAAATTGATACTGATGGTTCAGGTTTATCAAAACATAATGTAATAGTAAAGTTCTGGTTCATAATTTTTAGTAATCCAATATTCTCACAGCTATAAAAATAATTACAAATAAAAATAAAAAATAAACAAAAATTATTGAATTTATTTGCAAAACTGGATCAAACCAATTTAAAAGAAAAAAAGGTTTATTATTATTTAGTCATTTTAATTTTTTTTTTAAGTTTAAAAACTATTATTTTTGTTTTGATACTTTTTTTATAAAGAAAATAAAAAGTACCTGCTAAAATGATAATAGTAGCTAAACCGATACAGCTTACAAGAACTGCAATTAGAGTTGTATGGTTTTTGAAATCGTCACATTTTGATTTGATATTGGGATTGATCAATACTGAAAAGTCAGGATCGATATAGCATGATGTTTTGCAATGTGGAATGTTAATACCAATGGTTACTGATTCGTTTTGATTTGATACTAATGATGTGGTTATTAATGTTGTGTGTCCATCTGATATTGCTCTGTTTATAAATCTACCATATAGAATCTTGTTGTCTTTGTTGATCGATATATAGTTTAATGTTTGATTGTCTAATATTGATGTTGATGTTGATGCTGATTTACTGTTACAATCGTTCGATGTTGTATCTGATACATTTGATATCATTTGTAATTGTAATGTATTGAGTGGACTTTGATAGTTGTAATTGTGAATTGATACTGATACTTTAATTGAACCTTTATCTAATTTAAATTCTAAACCTGCAAATGAATATTGAATATCATTTTCTATTTCTTGGATTGATAATACGATTTGACATTCAGTTTCGTTTAGTATTTGTGTGAATGTTACATTTGATCCTTTTTTATCTTTTGATGTAATATTCCAATTGTTTTGAAGTGGATATTGTTTAACTGTGTCACTGTTGATATCGAGTTCTAATAATGATGTGATTAATATATTGTATGCTGTTTGATCGTTATTAATTGTTGTTGAACCATCTGGATTAACTGTGCTGTTGGTATTACCATTGTTATTATTTGAAGGTGAACTACAATCGAATCCAGTCCATCCTGATTTACACTCACAAATACCATTTGATGTATTACAAATACCATGGTTAGTATTGATACAGTTGTTTAAACATGTTTGTTGTTTTGATTGGTATATAAAAAAGTTGAATGATTTCCATGTGATTCCATTTTGATATACGAATACATTTTTTTTACCTGTACCTGCTCCAATGTTACATGTGATTGTATTTGATGATATCGTATCTATTTTGCATTCTTGATTACCGATTGTTACTTTTAAATTTTGATGAATATCACCGAACCATCCATTCATTGTTACTAATCCGCCATCTTCGTATGTTGGTGTTATTGATGATACATAATGATTTGGAGTAAAACAATTTTCACCGGTCCAGTCTTTAGGGCATTCACAAATACCAGTATTATAGTTGCATATATAACCGTTGCAGTTGTCTGGGCATGATGTATAGTTGTTGAATACTTCGTTACCATCGTTGTTATCCAAATTTAAATTGAATGTTGTTTGTAATTGATCTACTTTGATTGTGCCTGATACATTATTTAGTTGATTTGGATATGTTGTTAAAGTACATGAGATTTGATAAAATGTTGAATCAGCTACATCACAAGATTTATCACCAATTGTAATTGTTATTTCAGTGATATCGTATGAATAATATAAACCTTTGAATACTAAAATATGATTATTTGATGTTATACTTGATAATAGTGGTGGATATGGATCTGGAGTTAATGAAAATTTTTGACCAGTACTCTTGAAACTTATTTCGTGAATAATTCTATTTGGAGTATAGAAACTATATGAAATAATTATTGAATTAGATTTCAAAATGTAATTAAATTGTATATCTGATACAATATCACTTTCCGAATATCCAATATTTTGACCAATTAATGATAATACTGGTTCCGTTACTATTTTGTTTTGTTTCCAAAAAGTTTGATTTAAATATTTTAATTTTGGAATAGTTTCTATTTTTAATAAAAAGAAATATTAATTTTAATGATAATATTAATTTAAATAATATATTCAATAAACTTACTGCAAGTTCCTATAGTATCGTAGTTATCAAAAGAATTTTCATCAAAGTTTGATTTAAAAAAAGTATCACTAAAATGGCATGTAAAACATTCTGGAATTTTACCTGTCATTAAATTATTTTTTATAATTAAATTCACAGAGCAATAAGAATCATCAATAGTTCCAGTTATTAAATTTGAGTTTAAATCTAAGATTGTTATATTATTTTTAGAACCATCCCATTTTGGTAAATCACCAGCTATTTCATTTAAAGAAAAAGATAATTGAGAAATATCTGTATTATCAAATATTTTATAGTTTGGGAGTTTTATCAATGACCCCAAAAAATATGAACTGAAAGTAAATTGTTATTAGTGTTTATTATTTTATAACTGAAATAAAAATAAAAACAATAATACATACAATTTAAAAAGATCATTTGGAAGTTTTGAAAATGGTAATTCACCATCAATTTGGAAATTAAGAGTATAGGAAAATGTTCTATAAATTATCAAAGTTAAAATTAGTGTTTTTATTAATTTTTTTATTTAAAATAAAATTTACTTACAAACTTTTAAAGAAAGAGTATCCTGTAAATTCAATAAATTCACTTGGTGTTTGAACATCATAGTCTATTTGGCTTTAATGGGTAAGAGAAATATTAATTAAATGTTATTATTAAAAATTATAATATTTAGTTTATACTTACATAAAAGGTTTCATATTTTTACTATATGGATCATTTGAACCTAATAATATCGATAGAGGAACCAGTGGGTAAGATAGACCTGGGAAACTTCTCAATTGTACACCTGCTATACTATTATGTGTTGATAAATTTTTGAAAGAATTGAAATCGAAATCACCTGTTAAATAATAAATAATTATACCATTGGAAATAACATTTGACATTGATGGGATATTTCTTGTTACAAAATTGACATTTCCACAAACAAAAGGATCTTTTAAAGTGTTTTTTAAATCATTATTTATATATAATCCATAATTCATATTGTTCGATTGTAATGAACTTGGGGTTATTTCAAAAGTATCTTTTAAGGGTGTAGTAAAAAGTGATAGAGATAAAGGCTCTTCAATTCTTTTTCCTAAAGTTGTCCCGAATTTCTTTGAATTGATTGGGTATTTGAAGCTTATTGATGATGGTATATTCATTTTTCTGAATTATTATTAATATTTTATTTTATATAATTTTATTTTTATTTAATTTATAATTACATTTGATCTAAAGACTCTGTTGCAAAATCAAAAAAGTTATCAGATATATTCCATTTGGAGGTAATCATTGTTTTGAGATTTGGTCCAATACAATCTACATCCGTATTCTGTATAACATCATTTGTTAACTGAGGACTTCCAGAAAAGTCCATTTTAATTATATTTAAAACTCCATCGCATTGAAAATAAGGTGAATCTGTGCAAAAATCTTGTGGAGGGGTGTAACCTAGCTTTGTTAATAAATCGGTAAAGCATAAGCCTATATATAAAGAATAAAAAAATTTTATTATTATTATTATAATTATTATTATTATAATTATTATTATTATAATTATTATTATTATTATTATTATTATTATTATTATTATTATTATTATTTACCTTCTGATTGTGAATACTGAAGTGAAAAATTAATAAACAATTTTATAAAAAATATTATTATTAGTGTTGACATATTGAATTTATATTTTTTTTTAAAAAAAAAACTTATTGCGATGATGAATAATCAATTATAACGTTTTTTAAAAATATCTAGATTTGTGATGAAAATAATTATTACATTTTTTAGTAATTTTGGGTATGTTTAAACCTTGTAATATTCTTATGTAGTTTTAAATATTTGATTACCAAAATAAAAAAATAATATATATATATATATATTATAATATATTAATAATATTGGAAAATATAATAAAAATAATAAAAATAATAAAAAAAATAAAAAAAATAAAAATAATAAAATTTTAAAAAATTTAAAAAAATTTTATAAAAAAAAAATTATATCCGAAATACCAAAAATTGAAAAAATATAAAAATAATAAAAATTTTATTATTAAATTGAAACATAAATGATAATAGTGATTAAAAATTATCATTAATATTTATCGTTTTTTGTATCACATAGAGGAATTTATCTGTGTGTCTTTTTGTATAATTTCAAGATATAGGTAAGAATCTAATCCGTTGGGTAAATGAACTAAATAACCTGGGCTATTATAAACAATATTTCCCCAAAACATTGCATTAAACCTACCCTTTTTAACTCTTGTCTTGATATGCCATTCGAATAAAACATTAGAAATTTTTTTTTTTATTTTTTTATTTTACCCACAACCTCTCCTTTCAATTTATTTTTAAAAATTAATGATTAATCATTATGGTAAAGTTATTCATATAAAAATTATTATTGGTAAATCTTATTTTAATTATGATTTAATAAAAGTTGGTGGCCTACATATTTATTCCGGCACTGTAACAGCACCAACACACACACAATAATTTTTTCTTTTTCCCCTTTCTTTTTATTTTTTTTTATTCATTTTATTTATTTTTCACCTATGAAACATCTTTTTTGATACCCTTTCTTTAACAATTAACCAAAGATTTTCAATAATATTATTATCTGGACCGAAGGGTGGTAATGGATCAACTTGTATATTATTCTCTTCTTAATATTGTTTCACTTCTTAGATACAATTATCATGACAAATGTTAAAACACAAGACCTAGTTCGGGTATGTCAAGATGCATTTTATTCAATTGAAAAATAAATCAAAGAATCATTATATGAATCACTTCCTTACCGAATAGATGCAATATATAAAATAAGTGGAGGATATACTAAATATTAATTAATAATTAATAAATTATATTAAAAAAAAAATAAAAATATTATCAAATTTTTTTATTTTTTTATTTGATTAAAAAAAAAATTAAATTTATTTGTTTGATTATTAATTTATTTATTTTAAAGTCATTGGGTTGAGAAATTTCTTTTTATTTTTTTTTTTTATAATTTTAATTTTTTATTTTAATTTTAATTTTTATTTTCATTATTTGGAAGACTGGGATGAATTAATGTGATATTTTGAGCTAGAAACTTACCATCAGAAATAGATTGATCATTGAAACGAGATATATGAGGCTTTACCATGCTCAGAAACTTGTTTATTTGCCTAGTGAATGATATCAGTTGCGATAAATGGTTGATCATTTTGCATTTTAAGAGTGAATAGTAGTGGTATTTACAAACTTGCCATAAAAAAGATAATGTTAATTTAATCGATTTAACGATTACTTTCATGAATATTTTCATAACCAATACTAATTAATGTGAAATGAAGCTTTTTTCAATTGATTGTCAATATTTGAAATTTTCCAAAGTCATATAGTAATTTGATGGGTTCATGTTGACATCTTTCCAATTATCTGAGCCTGGTTCAATCTTATCAAGAATTTAATGTATGACCATATTAAAGATCTAGTAAATTATTAACATTAGTTTTAATTTTAAGTGAGTTTATCCACATTCATCTCTTGCACTATCAACATCTTTAATAATTTGATCTTGCCAATGGTTCAAGATTAAGATTATTTTTATCCAATCGATCCAAATGGTAATACCACTTTTCGGTTTGTTTAACAAGTAACCTTCTCTTTTCTGCTTTCTTTTGTTGATTTATTGATGAAATCATATTTTTTTTTAGTATTGATTTTTTTACTTTTCAGATTATTTTTATTTTAATATTGGGGTAATGCGTAAATTTAAATAAAATTTATAATAAATTTGTTTGAATGAGCGAATCACCTGCTTTTTTTTAAAATATCTTTTTTTTTTTTTTTTTTAAATTTTATTTTTAATATTTTTTAATTTTATTTTTTAATTTTTTCAAATTTATTTTTTTTTTTTTTTTTTTGATACTTTTCATATTAAATTTTTTTTTTTTCTTTACCTTGGGATTGGGGTTTGGCCCCAATCAATAAAACTATAAATAAATATATTTTTATTTATGAAAACTAAAGGTTAAATAGTTAAAAAAAAAAATATTTTTAAATTTTTAACAAAACAGTAATCATAGGGTACAATCAGTGTTATATGAATAAATTAATTAGTGTTACAATAAATCAGTGATACTAGGTGTAGTGAGTCATTATATAGCAGTAGCAATGATAATAATAATAATAATAATAATACTAATAATAATCATAATAATAATAATAATAATAATAATAATAATAATAATAATAATAATAATAATAATAATAATAATAATAATAATAAAAATCATACAAATAAAAATAATATAGAAGTTAATAAATCCTTCCAAAGTCAAAACCATAGTTCACAGAATAAAAAGAAAGGAAAAATCCATTCTCATTTCACTTCAAAAAATATTTCACCAGAATTATCAAAATTGTTAGTATCAACCGAGAAAAAAAATGAATCAAATAATAAAAATGTGGAATTAATCAATAGAACCATTAATATTAGTAATCATAATAATAACTTTCATGCTAATAAAGTTCCTTTTCAACCTCCAAATTTAACCAACCCAGTTCCAACATCTAGTCTAAATAATGATAATAATAACAATAACAATAATAATAATAATAATAATAATAATAATAATAATTATCATTTCTATACTAAAAATGAAAATCCAACTTATCATAATTTATTAAATAAAGTTTCCAATAATAATGTTAATAGTAATAAAAGTGTCGATAATTATAATACTTCAAGAAATACCAATAATGATAATTACATTTATGATAGTAATCATTCAACACCCACTATTAATGTTAGTAATTATAACAATAGTAATAATAATTATAACTACCATCCATCATCATTATCATCATCATCATCATCAAAATCATTATATTATAATAATACCCTACAAAATATTTATTTAATTGAAAGATTACTGCCAATTTATAACAATGATAATAGTAATAATGCCACAAATAATAATCAAAAAAATAAAAATATAACTATAGATTTTATAAAAAATAATAATAATAATAATATTATTCAAAATGATATTGCCGATTTTAATAATAGCGAGCAGTTTGGGTGTTCAATTGATTGGAATACATATTTTCAAAAGTTATTATTACTACAAGAAAATGATCAAACAAAGAAATATGAAAAATATAAAGCAATCTCAGCACTTTCAAAAGATTTTATTCATACTGCAACTACATATGGCAAAATTATTATCGAAGAGGCATTTATAAATGACAAGTTTAAAACTATTAAGCCGGTACCAGTGGGCGGTAAAGCAGGTGGTGTTAAATATGCATACAATGGTATACTATTCAAATTTGCTCAAGATTGGATTAAAATCTATAGTGGTGATGAATTTTCAATGAAGAGTGCAAACCATGAATTGAAGAGTGTCATGCGTTACTTTGGTTGCGAAGGTTTGCATGTACCATTGATGGCATTGTTAAGCTATCGTGGTTTCACATTAGTTGCCATCTCTTTCTTACCAATCAGTAGAGTCAATGAAACTTTAGTATATGGGTCCCACAATGCCGGTATTACTGTTCATGCATCAAACGAAGATTTTAACGAAAAGATGAAACTTGCAGCAAAGAAACTTAATATTAAAGGTCATATAGCAGGTGTTGATGGTCAGCAGTTTTTGTATGGTCCAGCTGATATCGAAGGTCATATTGGTACTGATGGTCTTTATTATGTCTTGGATTTTGCAAGAGTATTCCCACCAACCATCGATTCAATTTTAGAGCAAAACGATTTGAACCATAGCCATAGCGAAGATGAAGAGGATCACCATCGTAACGAAACTTATCTCTATAAATTATTTAGACCAGAATTTGTACAAAATTATCAAAAGCCATTATCAAGTGATGCCTATTCTCCATTCTGCAAAAAGGATGAGCTCAATAGATATGAAAACAATCAAGAGGTTAGAGAAGCTACTCATTATCTTTTTTATATGTATATACCAAAAATTTCAAAATGGATCGAGTCCAATGCTACAACAATCGATTGGCATTCACGTTTAACTGAAATCATTCACAGAGAAGGTATCAATGTTCGTTATTTGGGTTTAATTCGTCAAAACATCAAGGATTCAATATTAAGAGGTATCTTACTCTCAGAAATTATTGCAAGAGTTTTAAAAAATTTGTTAAGAGCCGAATTACGTGAAAAAATGAAGAAGTTAAGATCTCTAGAGGCAGACTCATATACTCAAGTAGTAATTGATTTTTTTAACATAGTTTTAGGTGATCCAATTCATTCTCATAAAAAACTATGGTCAAATTTAAAAAACGAAATTTTATTAAGATTTAACGATTCACTTACTGATCAAGGTATTTATTTCTAATAAATATTTTTATAATTTAATTTAGAAATACTAATTATCTTTTTTTTTTTTTATTTTTAAAGAAAAAGAAGAAGGGTTTTTTTTAATGGATTCAATCGATACCTACCATGTATTTTTAAGAATTCAACAAATGACTGGTATAAAATTAGGCGAGGAATCAATGTTAGAATTTAAAAAAGATCCAAAATCTTTTAGAGTTGTTTTATCAGATATAGTTGGTATGGATGTTAAAGTTAAGCACATGAATATCATAAGTTTAGCAGAAGGTAATGCATTATCGTTGCAATGTATGAAACTAGAGGGACAACCTGGAAGTGAAAGATTATTTAAATTAGCAACTGATAAATTTGAAGAAGCAATTAGATCAACACCAGATAACAAAGCAATTTTAAACGAATATGCCATGGTATTAAAACAATTAGCAATGTCAGTTGGTAGACGTGACTGTATAAATTATTTACAAAAATCATATTCAAACTTCTTATTGGCTCAAAATCATTATGGTTTAATGGAATTAGGTGATCAATTAATAAATCTATATTTAAATTTTGAAAATAATATGAAATGTAATCAAAATAGTAATAGTAATAAAAATAATGACAATATAAACTTTAATATAAACAATTGTAATAATTATAATAATAGTATCAATAATAATAATGAAGATGGTGATCTATGGTCAATTAAAGATTACTTGGCTTATTTATCAGAGAAATGTTACTCATCAGTATCTAATTGGGGTTTACAACAAAATCAATTTAATTCATTAATTTTTGACTATTTTTTAAAGAGTAATCAACAATCTCAACAACAACAACAACAACAACCACAAATATTAACTCAAAGCCAACTATCATCTTCATCATCTTTATCAAACTCAAATTCATCAAATAAAACCTCAATATTCTCAAATTCTACAAGTAACAATTTGGTAATTTTAAGAACTTTTGAAATCGATCCAATGTTAAGATGCATGGCTTTTTTAAAATTAGGTAATTTAATTATTAAAGTATCAAAAAAGAAGAAATCAAATCAGCTATTATTGGAATCATCAAAATTTTTTAAAGAAGCTTTTAAAATTATATTAAGTAATGAACTTTTATCTAAAATTTTACCCATTCAAAGAGATATTTTAAACAAATCAGATTTACAGATTTTATTATATTCAATTTTGTTTTTAAATTTTGATCAACAAGATCAAGATAATAATATAGATCAACAGCAAGATCAATCAAATAACCAACCCCAATCATTTAATACAATCAATTTTAATAATAATTATCAAAAAAAACAATATTTATATAAACAGTTTCCAAAATTTAATCATAAAATTAAAACATTATCAACTGAATTATTTCAAAAGAATTTAATGGAACCTCAATTTTTAGAATATTTATCAAATAGGTACCAATTTACAAAAATACTACAAGAAATTTCCTTAAGAAAGTATAGCTATCCATCCAATGTATATGGCGATGTAGTTTATAAAAGTTTAAGTCATTTTAAATATTTACTAAAATTAAATCTATCAAGTTGTACAACAATAACCGAAGATTCTTTTTCAATGTTGGTTACCAAGTTATCAAAACTTCAAAGTGTAAATATTTCAAAAACCTGTATTGAAACCAAAGGTATAATAGATTTACTATCAAATTGCCATGACTTGAAGAGATTAAAAGCAAGAAAATGCAGAATAGATAACAAAGATTTGGAAGAATTGTTCTTTGATAAAATGAAATTCAAGGGTAAAGTCTTTAGAAATATGTTGTGTATTAATTTTTCTTTTACCGATTTCGAATCTTTGGGTTCACTGTCAACATTAATGCCAAATTTAAAACATGCATATTTTTCAAATTGTCCACGTATTACTCCTTTACAATTTAACCAATTTAGTACAAATTGTAGACAAATAGAAAAGGCAAAATTTTCAGGTTGTTCAGGTTTAGATGATGAATCAATTGCTTCTTTCTTAAAGAGATCAATATCTACATTGAAATCCTTAAACATTTCAACTTCAAAAATCTCCCATTCGCCCATCATCAACTATTTAAAGATTTGTCAATCTATTCAACATCAAATTCAAATTGGTCTTTCCTCCAAACTCTTATTAGAACATTTAGATTTATCTTTTTGTAAAATTAAACAAGTTACAAGCCCATCCATTTATTTATTAAAACCATTCGATTTAGATGCCCCTATCCCTCTATCTACTCTAGGCACCAACTTAGTTTCATTAAATCTTTCAAACACTGGCTTAGATAAATTTGTAGTTCTCAATATTTTAAATAACTGTTTAAAGATTGAAATATTGCTATTCAATAATAATGATGATCAATTAAATAATAATTTATTACAAACATCAAATAATCATTTGATTAATAACAGTAGCAATAACAATAATAATACCAATAACTTTAAAATTATACCAAATGAATTAAAATTAAAAAGAATTGAACTATCTGGCTCATTACTCCCATGTTCGTTTTATATCGAATTAATAGAAAAATCAGATAAAACTTTAGAGCATATTGTCTTAAGCAAATGTTTAGAATTAAATCAACAGTTCTTTTCAACTTTAATTACAACATCAATTCCATCAAGATTAGAGACTTTAGATGTCAGCTATTGTAAATCTGTAGATGATATAGTTACCGATATATTTTTACCATTTTGTAAAAATTTAAAAACCTTGGTACTATCTGGCTGTAACTTAATTACTGACTCCACCGTAATCTCAATTGCAAATCATTTACATCATCTTCAAGATTTAGGTTTAAAGAAGTGCCAATTAATTTTTTCTCTTCACCATCTAAACTCGACAAGTTGCCCAGATTTAAAATATGTAGATTTAACGTTATCAGAAAATGTTTCCGATCAATCTTGCTCAAGTTTATTACATTTATCAAATATTAGATCATTGAATCTTTATGGTTGCAAAAAGGTTACCGATGAAACACTTAGAAATTGTAATAATCATCCAACTTTAAAGACATTGGTATTAGGTTTAAACAAAACTTCCAATCCTGCTATTGAGAACTTATCCCTTAGAAATCCAAAACTAAAGGTTATAGTTTCTGCAGGTTTACCAAACCAACACTCATCATTCTCTTTATCTTTATCTTCAACTCCAAACTTTGGTGGCTTATCAATATCAAACAATCTAACAAAAAGCTTAAGTAATGAAAATTTATTATCTCCCTCAAAGGATAGTGGTGGCATGACCCAGTCATTATCATCAAGTAATTTTTTGTCGATATCCTCACAGAGCTCAGCATCCAATGGCACATCTGCATCCCCATTATCGACAACCACGTTAATTACCCAACCTCAATCACCCTCAACATCATCTTCTTCATCTATATCTTCATCTACTACAATACCAATCTCTGCATCGACAAGTTATTTATCATCTTCCTCCTCTTCATCAGCCTCACCAATTGTTTCACAACAAACATTAAAATCCCTTATGGAAGATTATAAAGAATTAATAAAGAATCCAATATCATTAGTAAGTGCAAGGCCATTAGAGGGTGATATTTTGACATGGCACGTTAACATTGTTGCACCTGATGACTCTCCATATGAAGGTGGTATCTTCCATATTGAATTAAAATTCCCATCTAATTACCCATCAAGCGCTCCAAGTGGTACACTTTTAACACCATTTCCACACCCACATATTCATGATGGTGGTAGAATTTGTTTAGATATCCTCAGTGATTTCCAATCATACTTCCAAGGTCACCAAGCTCAGGGTATGAAATCGACTGGTTGGTCATCTGCATATAGAGTGTACACAATCCTAATTCAAATCCAAACTTTTCTTGTAACAATTGATAGCGAAGAAGATTTTCAACTTCAAGAAATTTTATCCAAAATTCCAAATGCTATTGCAATTAGTAAAAATTTTAAATGCATAACATGTGGTCATTGTGCTAGTTCCCCATTCCCAGAATTAAGAGACTACAAATATACTGATGACACCAGTATATCCAGAGCAATGGAACCATTAAATATTTCAAATCAAATCAAATACATTACACCAGAGTCACATGCCATAAAAAATAAAATTATCTCAATAGAAATGAATGAAGAAGAAAAGATTTTATTAGAAAAGAAAAGAAAAGAAATTGAAGAAAAATATATCAAGACCATCGAATCTGAATTGTTTTGCTTCCACAATAGAACTTCATTTAAAGAGGACATTTTAGGTATTTTAGTTTCCATAACAAAGAATAAAAGGAATAAAATTGAAGAAATTAAATGTTCATTCGATTTATTATCACTCACAGCTTTTAGTCAAGGTGTTAGAAATTCAATATTAAAAGAAAACAACTTTACACATTGGTTACCATTATATTTAAATGTTGAGCATGGAGAGAAAGCATGGCCTTATTTAGAAGCCTCCATTTCCGATATTTTTGGTAAGAAATTTACTCCAGATTTAGCAAGCCAATTTATAGCAATTGCAATGAATACAATCTGTGTTTTAATGATGAAAGGTGCAGTTCATGCCAGTACCAAACTATTAGAAGGTTATTGCTCATTCCATCAATTGTTTTTAGTGTTGGTTAAAAAATATCCAAGTTTGCTATCAGAAATCAATACACATGTGTACAACTTTATTCATGTTCCAGAGTTTAGTACCAAAAAGCATACTCCAGCTTTAGGTGAATTTTTACCACTACTTACTGTTTCGGACTATAAATGGGGCGATGTTTCGCGTGTATATATCGATGAAAATTTCGATAGAAATGTATTTTGGGTACTAAAAAAGAATCCTGAATTTGCCTGCATCGAACCAAATCTATATATTGATCAAAATAGAGCCGCTGCCACTTTTGAAATTACTCATGTCTCAATTCATCTTTTAATGTTCCATGTTTACTTTTTAAAGAATGTAGCTCGTCCTGAAGGTGCAAGTTTAGATAAAATTGCAGCACAATATGACCGTCTTATGGGAAGACCCCCACCTCATATTCGTGATAATCTCCAAAAAGAAGTTAAAGAAATTATGAGAGTTACAACATGGAATGAATTTTTCAATAAAATAGGTATCGCTCCACCAGAAGAAGTTGGCCTAATTAATTGGTTAAGAACATCTGTTGAAAACTCTTTAAGAAAAAACTATCACCAAGCAAAATTCTTTAAACCAAATTTATTATTATCCTTAGATTCAAACAATGATAAACCATCATCTCCATTACAGAAACAACCACAGAAACAACCTCCCCAAAAACACCAACAAAAACCCCAAAATAATAATACCGATGTTGATATAGGCGAAGATGTCCTCGAGGATTTAGATTTATTTTTATCAGGAAAAGTACAATCACCAAAACAGAAATCCCAACCCCCTTCATCAGTTTGGAGCTATAATTTACTATCACCCAATGATGATGATGAAAGTGACGACACTATTGGATTAAGAACAAGTAATACCAATAATAAAAATGATGAAAAAGCTTATCCACCTCTTTCAATTTCTTCAAAACCATTTAGATTAAAAACAAACACCAATAACATCAATCAAAATAACAATAATAACAATAATAACTTTAACAACTATAACAACCATAACTATAATAATAATAATAATTATAATAACTATAATAATAATAATAACTATAAAAATAATAATAATAATAATGAAAAAGAAATATGCAGATTCTTTTTAAAAGGAAATTGTAAAGCAGGCGATAGATGCAAAAAGTCACATAATATTGATAATAATAATAATAATAATAATAATAATGTTTTTAGAAATAGAAATACTTTTAAAAAATAAAAATAGTTTTTATGTATTTTATATGTTTTAAAGATATTTAATGATCATTTATTTTATTTTATGTATTATCTAATTTTATTTATTGTTTTGGTTATTATGTTTTTTTACTCTTTTATTTGATTTTGGTTCTTTGACAACTTGTTAGGCTTTTACCTCTGGTTGGTCTCTTTGAGTGTGTTACTTGCGATTCTTTGGGATTCTCAGGTGCTTCAGTAACTACTTTTGCTAATGCAGGTTTCTTCCTGCTCTCTTTTATTTGACTGCTGGAGGTTTATCTAATACCACTAATTTTTCCCTTTGTTCATTTATTCTTCTTTTTCCCTTTCTTTTTCTTTTTCTTTTTCTTTTTCCTATCCTCTTTTTCTTTTTTTGCTTTTTCTTCATCTGTTTTTTATTTATTATCTTTTTTTGGGTGATCTTTTTTTATATTTAAGTTTAAACTTTTATTGATATTTCTATCTTTTAAAAAATAAATTAAAAAAAAAAATTAAAATTATAAAAAAAAATAAAAAGAAATTTCTCAACTCAATGACTTTAAAGTTATTTATTTATTTTAAATAAATAAATAATCAAATAAATAATATTTAATTTTTTTTTTAATCAAATTTTTTTCTTATGATTATTAATTTTTTTTTTTATTAAAAAAAAATGAAAAATATTATCAAAATTTTTTTTGTTTAAATGAAAAGTTGGCATTATCATTTTTTTTTTTGTATTATTCAGATTGCAATGGGTTCTAAAATTGGTAATTTTCATTTTTATTTAATTAAAAAAAATAAAAATTTATTAATTCATTTCCCAAACACATCAGCCACTTTTATAATAATAATAAAAAAAAGTGTGTGGTGGGGTTATAATTTAATTTTTTTTAATTTTTTTTAATTAAATTATTTTTTTATTTGGGGGATGTGTTTAAAAAATAAACAAATGATCACTACTTTTATGATAGCTACAGATTAAAAATTTAATAGAATGTACAAAAAAGGGAATACTGAGTTTGAATATAATCTATTATATTAACAAAAGGAAATTTCAATTAAAATGAATTAAATTTTTTTTTTTTTTCATTTTCTAAAAAAATTTTAAAACTCTATAAAAACTTTTTTCGAATTTATTTTTCATTAAATTCAAGCTCTCAATCAAAGTAATTTGTATAATCAAGCTTAAATTTAGTTTTTTTTAATCATAATATTATATTTTTTTTAAATAATTATATATATATATACATATTTTTATATTTAATATTACCCTTTAAAAAAATAAATCAAAAAAAAATGGGTAACTTTTTCTCAAAAAAGGTAATTATCTCTTATATAACATACATTATAAAAAAAAAAAATATATTAATTATAGTTTTATTTTTATTTAGGATACTTTTGAGAAAAAGGTTTTAGCTATGGAGACCATGATTACTAATATGGAATCCAAAAATAAATGCTCAAAAGAATTTCATGATAATAATTATAAAAAAATTATTTTTTATTTTATTATTATAGAAATTATATTAGCATATTTTTTATACAACGTAATTTTTTCATCCGAAGCATTGTCTGAAAAGGCAATGTATTTCGTATATTCATTTTTAATTTCAATAGGGTAAGTTGTTCTTTTTTAATATATATTTTTATTTATTATTGGTATTAACATTTATATTATCATTTTAGAATCTATACTTTTGCAAAACTATATAGATTTACATATTGTAAATTAATTAATAATAATGAAAAAAAAATAAAAAAATTATATACAGGTCTCGAGAGATTATTCGAGGAAAGAAAACGTGTGACCGATTATGAACACACAAAAAAACTTTTCGAGAAATATGAAAATTTTAAAAAACAAAGTAGGTATAAGATATTATTCTTTATTTAAATAAGTAATGTAGTGACTAACTATTTTTTTAGGAATTAATATTAGAGACCATCACCAACATCAACCACCATAAAAACAACCACCACAACAACCCACCACATCAACCACCACAACCACCACAACCAACATCAATCACAACCACCACCGCAACAACAACCTTTTTTTTATTATTTTAGACAATAATAAAATTATTACTAGTATATTTTAATAGTATAGATCCTAGTGATCAAATAGATAATAATAGATAATAAAAATAAAATAGAAACAATAGACAATTAATTTTTTCATTCTAATCAACTATTTGATGAATATCAGAAATTGTTCTGGCCAAGCAACTATGGTATCATCGAATAGTTTTAGATAAAGAAAAAATTTAGTGGTTCCTATCAGGCGGCTTCCAATAAACCTAAACAACTTACTTGGTACAAGTTCTAGATTTCAGTAAATCCGTTTTGTCTAATTATAAAGTTGTGCGTCAATACCCAGATTTAATTATTTTAATAAATGCTGCCTTTATTTTATTTTTATTTAAAATTTTTTTTAATTAATCAAACCCATTTAATAAAAGTAAAGATAAATTCTTTTTATAAAATTTTTTTTTGAAATATTTATTTTTTTTTTTTTTTTTAATTTTATTTTTTTTATTTTTAGTTTCACAATCCCAAAAAAAAATTTATTTGACATTAAATAAATCATTTAAAATATAAAATGTCAAATAACAATAATCTTAATATTAGATATAACAATGATTCAAATATTCGGAACTGCTTGTTATAATAAAGTAAGGATCATTGATGAATTCCCAAATTTGAATGGAAGCATAGCAAAAAAAATGTTTTTAGGGTGGGGAGGCTTCAAATACATTTGTAAGTATCAAACTTTATATATAAACCAATAATAATAATAAACATTAATAATAATAATTATAAATTTAGATGTGTTTAATTAGATGGTTAATAGAAAATAATTAAAATAAAGAATCAGTTGGATCAATAGAATTATTATAAATTATTATATATAGTTTGGAATAATATATTTTTAAGAAATAAAATGATCAACTAAACTTTTTATTAGATAAAAATGAATTTCCACAACATTAAACGAATTTTGGAACAAATGCACCAGATACTGATATGTATATAACACAAATTATAAAATGACAATAAGCAGAGAACGCGCAAGAAAAGACTACGAAAAAGGAGATTTAGGATAATGGAATATAGAAACAAGAGCAGAAGCACAGAAAGCCTAGACATACGAAAGATATATCAGAGCAATCAGCCCAACTCGAGAAAGAAACTCAAGATAATTGCTTAAAGCATTGCCAAAAATATTCGAATCACAATGCCCATTCTGTCCATACAAATAATCATCAGAACTTATATTCTTCAAGTCCATCGGTCAATAAATCAGTACAATAGATAATAAATCAAATTTTAAAAGATTCTCAGTACGATCCTGTAGTATGGGATGAACACCTATTCACCAAACTGGATAAACCATTCCTAGCAAATTTAATAGCAACAATCTTCAAACAAATATGGTACAGAAGAAATAAGAAAAACCATGAACATTTCTCATACGAGCTAACGTATGAAAGAGTACTCAGGAGATTCAAGATATTCTGCGCAGCAGCATGGGAAAGAGAAGTCAAAAGTATTAACAGAATATATAAGAAACTTCAACACCTAGATCCAGCCAACAACACACAATGAAGATAATCAACAAATTAGAGAAGTTTAGCAAGATTTGGAATTCAGATATCTTTAGAGTGAAAATACCAATACATCTGGAAAGCCACAGAACCTTATCAATGAATTACAAATAACATAAAAATTAATTAACAAAAATTAAAAAACCAAAACTAAATAATCAAAATTAAATAACTAAAAAAAACTTAAAAACAAATTAATAAAAGTTGTGTTAACATTTGCTCCATTCTAATTGAAGGGATAAGTCAAAAATTTGTGGTTAACAATTAATACAAAAAAAACTACACCTTAAGAAATTTTTTTTTTTAAATCATTTATTTCTTTACTAATTTTCTTTTCCAAAAAATATTTTTAAAGTGTTTAAATAAATATGGCTTGAAATTTCCTCTATTGATTGTTCTGGTTTTAATCCTGAAATAACCTCCAATACATTACTATAATTTAATTGTAATAAAATGATTAATACATAAAAATAATAATAATAATAATAATAAATATTTATACATACATGATATTACATGGCTCGTTTCTACCTTGAACCTGGGAATCTAATTTAAATTTCTCTTTTTTTAAAATTGGGAAAACTGTTTTAACATATTTATAACTTGCATGAGTTTTTCTTATATCGCAATAAGGTGAATCGGTTTCAATTAATAATCTTTCTATTGGAATCTTAGCAGCAACACTTAAATTTTCTTCAGTTTTTAATGAACAACCATTGATACCAATATACAAATCCAATTCTAATAATTGTTTAAGTTCATCTTCTGTACCGGTCTAAATAAAAAAAGAAGTCAATATTAATACATATATAAACAATATTATAAAAATAAACAAAATACTTACAAATGAATGAACTACACCGTATTTAAATTTTGATCTATTTCTTTTAACTATGTCAATAAAATCTTGAGCAGCATTACGTAAATGTAAGAATAATGGTAAATTTGTTTTTTCTGCTAAAATAAATTGATATTCAAAACACTTTATTTGAATTTCTTTTGAGCAAAATTGTAAACGGTCATAATCTAAACCAAACTCGCCAACTGCTACAACTTTATCTTTATTTTCATTATAGAGTTTTAAAAGCTCTTTGATATAATCTGGTTTAATTTCGTTGTTTTCGCTGCCTTCAATAACTAGTTCTTGTGAACATCTTGTTGGGTGAACACCTATAGTTGTAAATAATCTATTGCTTCCATTATCATATTTGTTTATTAGCTCTAATGATTCTTTAACTTCACTTAATCTTCCAGATGTAATAATAATTTTATCCATACCATTATTCCATGCTCTGTCCAAGACTGTTCCCAAATCTGCTTCGTGGTATTGCTTTCCTGTGTGATTATATTTTCCTTGAAACATTTCATCACATAGATTTGATCCAATGTCTATAAATTTATAACTCATTCTTTTGTGTTTTAATTAAATTTTTCTATAAATTGTAAATAAAAAAATGAAAAAAAATGAAAAAAAAAAAATTATAAAAATGAAAATAAATTATTTTTAATATTAAAAAATAAATAAAAAAATAAAAAATTATATTTTGTATTAATCTGTATTTTATTTTATAAGTTTAAAATTATTATTTACAAAAAAAACTTCTTGATTTATAAATAAGAAATTTTTAATTGAAAGGAATTATATATTATTTGTTTGTGTTATTAATTTTTAAAAATTTAAAATATTTAATAAATTATATTAATATTATTAAATTCAAAAAATAATTTTGATAAATTAAATTGATTATTGTTGTTTGTTGATTTTGGAGTTTAAATTTAAAAAGCTCTAGCAGCAATTGGTGGTGAGTTAACTAAATTTGCTTCTTTTGAGGATTTGGTTTTTAAACTCTTATTAGTTGGTGAGGATGATAATAATTTTTCTTGCTTTTCCATTTGTTGTTGTTGGAGATGGGCGTGTTGAGTTGAAACTTGTTTTGGACTGAAAACAGGTTGGATATATTTTGGGTGGTATGAATAATCTATATGGGTGGAGTAATCTTTATTTTTAGTGAGACAATTTGGATCTTTTTGATATTCGAGTAATGGTACAATTTGTTGAATTGAACTCCATTTTGATTTTAATTCTTCGATTGATTTCAATGGTTTATTTGGGATGTAGAAATCGACATTTGAGAATACAAAAGTGTCATATGCATCATAAGTATGATCGCTTACATAGCCTAAGAGACCACCGCTGGAAATAACACTAAAGTCATGGTCTAACTTTATGGTGAACTTAACATATGAGCCATTTGGATAATTGTGGAGGAATCCTTTTAATTCTCTTGAAATTCTTTCTTGGCCTCTAATCTTGAAAATATCTCTAATTATATGAACGATTTCTTTGATTTCTTTCATATGATAGTGTTCTTTCTTGATAATGAAATCTCCAGTTTGTCTTTTAATTGAAATTGATGTTGTATAAATATTATTCATTTTAAACTTTATATATTATATTATTAATTTAATAAAAACTTTTTTTTTGACTATAGTATAAGAATAATTATTTAAATATTATAATTATTATTATTTTTAATGTTATTTTTGAAATTTTTTAAAATGATTAAAGTTTTGTTTTGTTTAATTATTTATATTAAATTATTAAATTAATAAATTAATAAATTAATAAAATAAAAATTAAAAAAAAATAAATTATATTGGTTTTTTTTTTAATTTTTAAAAAGTCAATGATAATTAAGAATTAAATTTGGGAAGGAATGTTGGGATTTTTTTTTGTATAAAAAAGGAAAGTTTTTATAAAAAAATAAAAAATGGAAAAAATTAAAATAAAAAAAAAAAAAAAAAAAAAAAAAAAAAAAAATAGTTAGTTAAATATTTTAAAACTTAAATAATTAAATAAATAAAATAAGGCCTTGTACTTACATTTGAAATAATTATTTTTTATAGAATATGTATGAGTTTGATAGTTTTTTTAAAGTTAGCAGTTTGAAAGAGACGAACAAAAAAAAAGAAAATTAAAAGTTTTTAAAATGAGAGTTTGTTAATAATTATTAATTTTTAAGTTTAAAATAAGGTATAAATATTTATAAAAAAACTATTAACTATATCTTATTGAAAAAATAATTTTAATTTTAATAAAAAAAAAATAATTAATTTATAGTGGAAGAAATTTCAGTATATTTGAAATTGAATAACAAATTTTAAAAAAAAAAATAATTATAAACAAAAAAAAAAACAAAAATAAAAAAAATACAAATAAATATATTTTTAAATATTGAAAGGGTATAGCAAGAGTGAAAGAGGATGAAATTATTAAAAAACAAATATAAACATACACATTTTTACACATAAATTTATTTATGCATACACACATGCACACAAAAACAACCAATATTGTATTATATATTATTTAATAAAAAACCAAAAAATAAAATATTTGCTGGGGTAATAAGTGAGCAAGGGAAAAAAAAAAAAAGATTTTACATAGGGAATATAAATTAATTTAAAAGATGTTATTATTACCACATAAATTTGACAATGTGTGTTTTATGTGTGTGTCTGAATAATAAATTATTATTTATATATAAACAAATAAATTAAATAAATATAAACTTTTTATGTATGTATAAAAAAGTTTATATTTGTTATTTATTTCTAAGTGTGAGTTTTGGGGGGAATTTAAAAAAAACAACAACAACAATTACTATTATATATTTTCTTATTTTCACACTGATTGATCCTTATGATTTTTTACTTTCTTTTTTATCCCTTATATCTTTACATATACATAATTGTTATCTCACTATAAAATGATTAACTTTTATATGTATAATAAAAATTTATAATTAATTTATACAAAATAAAAATTTTTGTGTGTGTGGTTTTGATTATTGGGGGTTAATTTCAATTGGGTGGAATTTGGAAATTAATAACAAAAATTTATACGTAGCTTTTGGGGTAAAGTGTGGGGTTATATTTTA